TAGACCTGCTTTGTATTAAGTTTCTGATTCCAAAGACCAAGAAGTAAACTTGGGTTAAAGATGTGTGGGAGCAGCTAATATTGCTGGAATGAGACAAAGCAGACAGATAATGCGAATAATTATTGAAAATGATGTCCAGCTATGGGCCAAATTCTGAAATCATGCACGCCTTCTTTGTTGCCTCACCCTGCTCATTATTTGAAGTCATGGAAAACAGGTGTTTCTAATAGCAGGTCGCCGTCTCCATGATCCTGCACCCTACGTTTGCTGATGATGGTTCAGATATGATATTTCATGATTAGAGCTACGCTTATGATTCAAAGTGACTAGAGAGAGCTGTTCATAAGACATCCGTGTAATAGATGCTGATTGGCTGTGGGTAAAATCATGGAGCTTTTGCATTTGCAGCAGGAGGCGAACCACAGACTTTCAACATGAATGCGTTTGTTGTTTTTTTCTTTTCTTGGAGCTTTAAATGATTACAAGGGGATTTCTCTGCCTTAGAAACAGGTGCCATATTCATTTGCTTCAAACAGAACAGCAGAGGAGCTGATTGCACCCAGTTTGCATTGCTTTATTCTCTCCATAAGCAGAACCATCGTGGTTTGGGGTTCTCTTCTTTCAACTTGGATTACATCACATGTGGATCAGGGCAGATGGGCTTCCTCAGTGGGCATAGGATTTTTTGTCTGATTAAGTAATTTCATATGCATTAAAAAATTGTGATCATAAATGGCATGGTCTACAGTCCAAGAGCAGACAGCTTAAAAATTTTTATTATTAAGCTGTTTCTCCTATGGTTAAAATTTTATCTGCTTCTGTTTAAAACTGTCCCTCTGTTTTAGATTCTACATTCAGCTGAAAACAAGTATCTACAAAAAATATATAAAAACACTCTGAACCTTAACATCTGTTAGTTCACCGTCTAACACTAATGTTTCCTGAATGCTGAATAAGAGTTAAATGGTTTATTCTTGTTTTGTAACCAAGTTAGGAGAGAATATGCTTAAACTGTACAATCTTCTTAGCTTTGCAGGTTAACAAAAGAAGCCAAACAACCCCCATTCTAAAGGAGTGGACCCCTTCGTCCGTTTCAGTTTGCATGTTTTCAAAACAAAAACAAGGTTTTGATCGGTTACTGTATAAAACCTCGAACTCAACGCTATTCCTGACATTTTAAATAGAAAAGGCTCCCTGGATGGGAAGCGAAACATCTTAAACTTGGAAACAAAGTCCAGTTTATTGTTTTTAGCTTTCTTTTTTTTGGAATGACTAGGACTTGGATGACTGAGAATCTTAACCAGTATTCAAACTGTAATCTGAAAGATCAGCCTCACCTATACTGGCCTATATGTACAATTTGGAGGGGTGTGTGCTGCTTTCCAACTCTTACACTCATAACAATGGAAGTTTTGGACCTTTCTATTTACCTTACCCTCTCTAATAACAATTAACCTCTACCCGCTTCAAAACATACTAAAATCCCACTTTTTCATGTGTTATTGGGCCTTGTAATGTTTAAAATGTATTTCAGAAAACTGTTAAAAAACCCTGCAAAGACCAGTCTGTGGAGAATTTGGACAGTGTGCGCAGGAAAAAATGTAATTTCCAAAACATGCAGAAAGAAAAAAATAAGAGAATTTTGGCTTGAAATAAATAAAACAAACATGCAAAAAAAAAAAAAAAATGCAGGGCAAGATTTCTAGACAAAAGACATTTTAAAAGGCAAATCATAAATTAAACCACTGAAAAGAACTTTGACTATACATTTATTGAGAGCTTTTCAATTTTATAGTAAGTTTGAGAGGCCTTAAAGCAGCATCCTTCTCCTCGAATGATGCAAATTTTTTTTTTTTTTTTTACCTTATATGTCATCATCTTGTTATAATCTCACAAACCTCTGCTTCCATCAATCCTGCTCTCCAACGTCCGCTCACTGGAAAACAAAGTGGATAATGTTCAGCTGGAACTCTCATCAAAAAAGGAGATATGTAACTGCTGCACCATCATTCTGACAGGGTTGATGGTTGCATTCAGCAATACCGGTTACACACACACACACACACACAAATATATGTATATATATATATATATATATTCCCGAAAGGTACAAAGAACTAAGCAGTAAGACTCAGGGTGGTGGGCTCTGTGTTTCCATCAGCAACAGCTGGTGTAAAAATGCTAGATCGGTCGCCAGCTTCTGCTTTCCAGACATCGAGTTTCTGACTGTTAACTGCAGACCTTTCTGTCTACCCAGAGAGTTCAGTGTGGTTAGCATTACTGCTGTTTATGTGCCCCCCAGCGCTACTACAACAGAGGCTATGAAGACTCTATACCAGGCTATCTCTGAGCTCCAATCTGCACACAGAGGGTGTTTTCATCATTGCTGGGGATTTTAACCAGGCTAACTTGAAGACTGTTTTCCCTCATTTTTACCAACATGTGGACTTTGCAACTCAGGGTGAAAACATTTTAGACCTGGTTTACTCTAACATCAAAGATGCATTCAGAGCAGCCCCCCGCCCCCACCTTGGTTCATCAGATCATCTCTCGATCATGCTTATCCCTGCATATAAGCCCCAGCTGATCAGGGCTAAACCGACAGTAAAAGAGTTCCGAGTGTGGTCTGAGGGCGCCATGGAAACACTCCAAGTCTGTTTTGAATGCTCTGACTGGAACATCTTCAAGGCTGCAGCAACATATAAAAAAATTATTAAATATTGATGAGTATGCCATGACTGTTTCAGCCTACATCAACAAATGCATTGAGGACGTTAACATCAAATAGAACATCACCACCCGGGCCAGCCAACCACCCTGGATAAATGGGGAGGTTCGGTTCTTCCCTCCATAAAAGACATTTCATCCCAGCTCTCTATGTTCCAAGCCCGTAACATCATAAATGACCCCTCACACCCCCACCATGGACTGTTTTCCCTGCTGCCTTCTGAGAAGAGGCTTCGAAGCATCCAATGCAGGTCCAGCAGATTCCATAACAGTTTCTTCCTCACTGCCACTAAACTGCTGAATATTGTGTAAAATGGGTTATTTTATTTAAAAAAAAAATTTAGAACTGTAAATATACAGTAATTTGTTTATATAACTTCTTTTTAATTATTTATTGCTGTGAAATGAAATTGTCTAGAGCTGTTTTAAACAAAATTTCTTTTTGTATACACTTTGTATACAAAATGACAAAATAAATCTATCAAAGTCTAAGTCTATGTTTCTAAGTTATAAGATGTATGCAACTCATTTTCAGTAACATGCTTTTGACAATGGTATAGATTCAGGTTTGAAACCTACATGAAAAAGGATTGGAGAACTTAAATTTTATTTCGTTAATGGGTGTATTTGCCGTGAAACTGAGCAGCTTAGTGAGAATATCTGTTAATAGAAATAGTATTTTTTCTCTTAGAATAGGATTGGTATCAAACATATTAAATATATATAGTTGCAGTGCAATGGGTCAAGCAATATGAAAACAGGCATACATGGGGACAACCTTTGTTTATTTCTAATACCATCAATGGCTCTCCAAAAATTGTTATTTTGAAAAACATGTATGTTGCAAATTTATCAGTGTATAGTTTTGAATGTCAACCTCTTTCTACCGTTGGTTGAAATAATCAATATTTAGCTTATAAGATCAAAATTGCCTGCTTAACTTAAGCCCATATTTCCATAGATGCATTGATTAAACAGCATCCTTGTACGTAAATTTCAATGATAGCACATACTTTCCAATGAAGTAAAAACTCACAAAGATGATGATGATCAACTATCAACAGTTGTTGGTGTTTTGACCATCCAATGTTTTCCTGCTAAGTGAAATACTGTTGGATAGTTGTACTAATTATCTTTAACATAATGGTGTGGAGTCTCTCCACAGTAAAACCAAAGAGTTTATATAAAACAATAATTACTGTGTTTTTATAAAGTACTTGGATGTTTGGTTTGATACACATTAATGAAAAATGACTAAACTTGTTTATTTTTTCATGGTAAGCTACAAATTGATATCTTATTTTGATGCAGTTAAAATAAAGGAGATTTGTCTTAATTCAAGTTTATCCATTTTCTTAAAAAAAGATTTTACATGTTTTACAAGCTGAAAAAAAAACTTGGTATTAATTAAGTTATAACTCAAAACAAGATGGTTTCCAGACTTTCTAACGTATCAGGATTTTCCAGATGTATTGTCTTAAAAGAAGTTCTTAAGTCTCACTTAAATTTTGACTCTAAATGAGATAAATATTCTTGATTAAACTTTTTGTTTTTGCAGTGTGAAGGTGGCCTGACTGGTTATATTTTTATAATTAACCCCATAAAACTTTCCAATATCCTCTTTTAAATGGCTTGAATAATTTGGTTCTACAAAGACAGAAATGTTTCAGGCAGAAAAAATATAAAAATGGAGAGACAGAAACAAAAAGAAGAGCCATCCAGTCTGCATACATGAAATAAACTTTTATTTGTTTTTTTTTTTATGTGCTTGGCACTTATATTTACAGCTAATCCAAACTGCCTCAAAAAAGATTAACTTTGCTAATTCCCATTTGCACACATTTTAATAACAGATAGGCAAAATTGCTATAGTTGTCAACTCTTAAATACACATCTTAGTACACAGCACAACATACTTTACTCTCTTATAGTATTGCTTATTTTTCAACATTTCACACAAACACTTTTAAGCTTATAATATTGATTGCATTTGCCATTTCTTCTTTTATATATAAGCCATGAAGAAGTGTTTGTCTCCTGACGGTCCTCTTCCGTTTTTGCTTTTTTGTCACACCTAAACGTGTCTACTTTTAAATTCAGGCAACTTGAGTAAAGGTACCGTCCAGATCTTATGTACGTTTATTTACTGAGGCAAAAAGATTTCTAAATGAAGGTGGTCCTATAAAAAAAAAAAAAAAAAAAAAAAACATTCCCAAAACTTAATAGCTGGTTTTACCAACTGAAACGAAGAATGAGATCCCTGACAATGATCCTTTTTTTTTTTTTTTTTACAGAGCTGTTTCATCAAACCACACTCTTTTCAGGCCATGACATCTTACATTGAATTAATCCCAGGTTTTGACTTGACCATTTAATTGCCTTTAACTGTTTTTTTCTTTTTCTTTGTGTCCTAACATGTGAACTTGTTACTGTGCTTTGCATAGTTCGTCTTCCTTTGCCCTAAAGAACACAGAGTAATCTATGGGAAAATAAATTGCCCAGCCTCTTTCTTTCTTTTGCATTGTGAACATTAATAATACCTGAGGCAAATAAAGCCACAAGAGGTATATATTTTTTTATTCATCCATGCCCTTCAAGATAACTTTAAACTCCTAGAAACATTTATTTTCTTTTACCACGTCTTATGCAATTTTATGAAATGATTCTGACTGTTTAGCAGCAAAGATTTCAGATAAGTGGAAGACAATGGATTAATGGATTTACTCTCTTTCTGGTTTACTGGAGCATCAATGCTTTCTAAGCCTCACCAGACAATCAGATATTTCGTATATATTCTTTAATATGTATGAATCAGGAGATAATGGTTAGTCTTGAATATCTTTGTCCGCGTCATGTTGTAAAACATCTTCTATTTGTATCCTTTCATGATTCAACAAATCCCCTGTGTGGCTAGTTAAATTAGATCCAGTTTTTTATTAGTGATTATAGTTAGATTAATAAAGAAAAACAAACGTGTTTGGTATTAGCTCAGGTTATATTCACCTGATACGATCAGGAACATTTAGGTGTGATAAAACAGCAAAAGCAGGAGAAAAAAAAAACCTTTAGGAAGGCAGATACTTTTCCACTATATGTATACATATCAGACGAATCCTGCAAACATTCTGAAGAATTCCAGTTTTTAAGGAAGGTAGGTGGGTAAAGTTGCACGGTGGAGTCCTGTTCATTTACTTTTTGGAAAGAACTGGCTTTGCATTGAGGTCCTTAATTCCAGCAAGGATGTGGGGCAGTGACTAATTCACTGTTATTGTCCAGTTGTCCCTTTCATTCTGTCCTAAACCTCAGACCATGGCAGAGTTCTCCTGAACATTCGTCCATAAACGGCATAAGCGGCACTCGAAGTAAAATCCTCTGGATGACAATGATGACTCTTTGGTTTAAGCGCAGCAGCGCAAACTGATGGCTTTTTAAATTCCTAGAAAATCAAGACTGAGTCGAAAGAGCTGTTTCTACTATTGCACCGTAACATATAAACATGTCTTCTGGACCAGAGCATCTGGATTCCCTTTTCTTCTCCAAACACTAATTCGAATTTTCCTTTCAACAGTAAAAACACTGAGCTGCGGTCAAAATGTTTTTTGTCTTTATAAAAATAATTAAATAAATGTTTTTCACCTGCTTGCTCTTTGAGTGGTAGGATGTTTCTGAAACATGTTAATGTAACAAAAGGTGTAACTGCAGCACCAAGGCTCAGTGACTGCAGCTTTGATTTTCACCTGAAATACTGTATGTTTGACAACATGGAGCAGGCGGAGGTTTTTAAACCATGTGCATGGACATCTGAGAAGAGCCATACTGACGTCCATCGCAGGAGCTGCCGCCCTGCTGGCTGCTCGTGGTGTTGCCAATCATGTGCATCGTGTCCATGCTTCCATTGGGCAGGTACTGGCGCTCGGCAAAGGCGCCCGCAGGAGCAGAGGAGCAGAGTAACCCTCCTTGGGGTTTCTCAGGGCTGGCAGCCAGGCGAGGAGAAGTGGGGAAGTTGTATCCATATAGGTTGTAAGGGTTGTGGAGGGAGAAAGCATTGTAAGATCCCTGCTGCACGTGGTGGTGGCTGCCGCTGAACATGTGGGCAGAGGAAGGAGATGACCCTGATGAAGAGGATGAGGCAGAACCGGAGCTTCCTCCCGCCTGCATCACATACTGAAGCTGAGAGGCAGGGAAAGAGCCGAGTTGACTCCCGTAGGCGTCCATCTTGCTGCCAGAGCTGCTGCCGCTTCCACTGCCGGTCAAAGAGCCATGAGTGCTGCCCTGCATACCTGCAGCAATCAGGGAAGAAGTCCTTTGTGGCAAGAACGAATCAGATGGTTGGGCAGAGGCCACCGCTCCCCCTGCAGCCTGGAGACGGCCATAAGAACTGTCAGCCAGGCCGCTGTAGCCTTGCAGAGCTGCCATGTTACTTCGAGCACAAGCCGGGTACTCCGATAAGCCCAAGTTGCAAAGCTGACTTTCTCTGCAGCCAACGTTGAAAGTATTCGGGGCCAGGTGGAAGGCTGGAGGGGAGCAGGAGGGGGAAAGGAGATGTGCTGCACCAGATGGAGAAGGTGTTCCTGTGCTGGAGGTGGTGGGAGACGTCCCTGTGCTTCCACCTGGAAAACAACATACAGATCCAGGCTGTTAGAAACAGATTCATCTGCTCTTATCCCAGTAAGAACATCCAGCTGGGACCTCTGTTTGACTTTGCATGAAAGTCTAGATTAAAAGTCAAAATGGTTAAAATCAGGTTAAAAATCAAACATGACAGCAAATAATGGCTGAAGAAAAAATTAACCACAACCTTAAACATTATGTATTTTCTATCTTTAAATCAAGGGTTAAATAAAATGGTTAACTGGAAATTATTTACTGTAAGTGATATTGAACTCTAAGGTGGTAATAAACATCCATTTTGGCCATTTTCTGTAAGACCTGACCAACTTTAATGTGCTTTAATGTTCTTAAGTTAGAGTAGCAATAATGATATGCAGTGTAACACACTTTCAAACACTATCCTTGTGAACTAACAAGGTACAAACAAAAATATATGAGTTTTTCTCATGATCATAGTGTCCCATTTTTTACAAGTTCTGAGCTCCGTTTCCCATTTTTCAACAAACATTTTTAAAGGAAAACAAAAAGTAAATAGAAATAGAAATATTTTAGACTAATATAACTACCCATACTGGTCCATTTTTTCTTCTAGTTGTTTCTTTCTACTACACCTTTACATGCATTTTTTTTTCTTTAAGTGAGACTGTATTGGCTGCTGCAGCTCCCTTTACGATCTGTTTTATGTATGTTTGTCCTGTGCCCTTTTCTTTTTGCTTATTTTAATCCAGATTTTTCTTTTCTGTCTTATCTTTATTCCTGATTTTTACTTTGTATTTTCGTCTTGTACCTTTTTTTTTGTTTGTTTTTTATTGATATGCTGGCTTACATTTGCCTTCTTACTCTACCGCTAACACCTGGACTTCCCCTCAGAGGGACAATGAAGGGCTAATATGTCATAATTTATTGTTTCCATATGAGCTGGAAAGAGAGCAGCTGAAACAAAAGTCAGTAAACATAGCTGAACAGATCTGGAAGTGTATTATAAGCACGATGATCAACAAGTCATATCAAAATAGAGCGTTAATGCTACATTAGCCTAGCATTCAGCAAACGGCTCTGCACAAAGACATCATGAGCAGACAAACATTTGTATTGTGTAGCTGTCGCTGGATCAAGAATACATTTAGAAAACAAGGACCAGGTTAGTTATGCATATTTTAGACGCTGAATATGTTTATATTATTAAAGAGGTTCTCCTAATTTAGTTAAGGCTACCGAACAATGTCAGTAAATTTATAAAGGATACTGCAGTATCGCTGGAATTTGGGTAAACCACTAGTTCTAATGTACGCGCCTTGCAATACTGATGAATGTAGTCTATTATTTTACCGCACATCAAAATGTAAAGTTCATTGACACAACTTTTTCATCAAAGCAATTTTTCCTAAAATGATAAATTTACAAAATGTATAGAGAGTAAATGTATAGAGTATTAATTCTAGAAAATATATACATATGCAGTGTTTAATTAACTGCTTTCTAAATGTTGACAGGTCCAAAATAAACTAAATGTATTTCTGGATACAATACTGATTTCAACGTTAAAGAATTCTGCATCCATAGAAAGTCAGAGACGGAGCTCAGGCTTCGCCAAATCCAATGTGGTCTGTGATAAATCTGAGAAATGTCCAAAGGCTTGCATTCGAATTAGCAGACCTGGTAACCGGCTGGCAAACAGCGCCCCTTTCTGGCCAGGAGGGGTTTCACTTTTAGCAAATACCTTTACGGTTCAAGCATGCGCATGGCATTCACTTCATTAACTGATTTATTCATTTTCGATATCAGCAAAAACCTTATATATAATAACGGATAAGAATTGGGAAAAAACTATTGTGATCCTCTATCACTGGTGTAGAGGGACTGCTGGTATCTCCACCTCCATTTGCAGTCAATCAGACTAACAATTATGGCTAAACCAACAGTAGATGGACCTTCTGGCAGTTAAATATATACTGTAAGTCACTTTGTTAAACTTTCTCTCAGGATTACTGCATGTTTTTAATCTTTAAAACCTTTCTTGACACACGATCGTGTTGGCTGGTCAACAGAGTTGCTCATACAGTTTAAAATATACACACATTGTGAGGTTGTTGGAACAGATGCTAACTACGAGCCAAGCCTTTCAGAGCTCAAGAATTGCGGTGGGATATCAGTCACATACTTTCCTATTAATGAGACTCTGGCAGGAGCTCCTGCTGTCGGAGAAATTCAGTTCGAAACTAGAATGAGAAGAAGGCATAACTAAATGATCCAGGACCTGCTTGGCTGGGACTCTGATTTTGCACCATATGCCTTCGATAATATGACTATCCCAGTCCGCCAAGAGAAGAGGATAGCGTGGTGATGTCATGTTTTCCTCACGTCAGCTGGATTCAAGGTGCTTCACCACAGGAAAGAAAAAGGACAAGGTCTGTGGCCAAAAGGGTTGAAAGCTGCACGTGAACAAACACTTTTTTGACCCTTCCTACGAGGTGATGAAGAGTTCACCGGTAGTGAAACAACTTTAATTAAATTCTTATTACTGCAGAGGACTTTTAGGATGACAAAGATGTGGAGAATCATGTCATACTGGCCTCCAGAGGTAATTTAGAGGGGGAAAAAAGGTTTATTTCACAGCGGCAAACTCTTTGAAATGACCCATTACTAAACCTCTGCTGGCGACTTCGGACTGGAGAGAGAATTTGCTAACGATGACCATGAGCGGTCCAAAACCAGCAGTGCAGTGGTTTGTATTGAAGGTCTGATGTATGTGTGATGTAAAAGTTCAGAGCTGCCAGAGAAGCAGCAAAGGGCCAAGCTCAATTGAGGCACATGCATAGCCGATCAGTGTGTGGTGATATATGGGGAGAAAATATGTAGAGAAAGTTCACGTTAGGATAGTAAAGCACCTGGTTCATGAAATACACCTCTGCACAGTTCAGCTACCTTTGAATTAGAAAATCCTGTAGCTGTACAGAAAGGTATGCATACATTTCAGACTATTGAAAACACAGTAAGACAAATCAAACAGAAATAGTTGCAAACTGATCTATTCCAACTAAAGTTTGTGGCTCAAATATGAAACAAATGTCTTCCTATTAAAACTGCAAACTACAATTTACTGAGTAGGAATAACCAGCTAGAGTTTCAGCAAAAATACTAAAGGATTCATTGAAATATTGTCATGAGAAATTCTGAATGCAACTGAATATTCTCTGACATATTTTTTCTGTTAGGGCTCCCATGGCTCACTAATTTTATTATTTTATTTTTTCTCATAAAATTCTACCACATGCCATCAAATTAGAAACTTAATAACTTAACTGATAAACCATGTTCTTAAGAGGAAATGCTCAGACACATAATACGTATTTTATACCTTGCTGTTTCTGCATGTTGGTGAAATCTTCAAATGTGAGGGTCCTCACAGGAGGTCTCCAGAAAGCGTACGTCTCCATGATCGCTTCCAGGCCAGTTCTAAAGAAAAGATGTAGAAACAGGAAAGTTTCAGGTCAAATGTGTTGATCTGTGAGTTGAAACAATCAATCATCTTCGCATAACTGTGATGACAATCGTGAAAGATGACAGTGGCGGAGTTTTACACCTTTGGTAATCAGGGGTGTCTTGCATCCATTCATAGGGAAGTTTGTCGAAGAGTTTCCCACCAGCCTTACCACTCTGTTATTATAATTATTATAATAAGTTGAGATTGTTTTTGTTTTCTATGTATTTTTTTTCATTATAATCCTGTTACTACAAATTAGATGTAAGGATGTACTTTCCTCATGTGAAGAAAATTGGCTTATATTAATTTTTATACATTTGATTCACATGACTTCAACACAGGATTTTATTTATATAATTAACAATGAATACTGAGTTAATCAAGAGTATTTTCAGTTGAATATAGATAAGAGGGAGGATTAAATCGATTATTGTTATCATATCAGCCAGATAAACTCATTACCTTTGTAAACATGTTTATGGATATATACATACTGAAGATTACCTTTTTCTTTTTTCTCTGTTTCTCTCTTCTGTTGATCTATAAAGATTTTGTTTTTGTTTTAACCTGTTTTATCCAATTAAAGTAACTCTTTATGAGCTATTGATAAAAAGGGGGCGCTAAACATTTGAGCAAAGTTGATGTAAAAATGTCTTAAAGAAAGAAAGAAAGAAAGAAAGAAAGAAAGAAAGAAAGAAAGAAAGAAAGAAAGAAAGAAAGAAAGAAAGAAAGAAAGAAAGAAAGAAAGAGAGAGAGAGAGAAAGAAAGAAAAGGTAATAAATACGGTGGCTGAGAAGTGCAAAACACATTTACAATTCAAAAACACATTAACAAATAAAAAACAAAATAACATTTGAAGAAACAAAATTATATTTTGTGAAACAAATGTATTTTTGAAAAAAAAGTTTAAATTTTTAAAAACAAATGTACATTTTAGCAAACAAATTTACATTAACAAATAAACAAAATAACATTTGAAGAAACAAAATTATATTTTATGAAACAAATGTATTTTTGAAAAAAAAAGTTTAAATTTTTAAAAACACATTTACAATTCAAAAACACATTAACAAATAAAAAACAAAATAACATTTGAAGAAACAAAATTATATTTTATGAAACAATTTATTTTTGAAAAAAAAAGTTAAAATTTTCAAAAACACATTTACATTTAAGGAAACAAATTCACATTTTAAATCAGTTAGATTTTAGGTGAGAGAAAGTTTCATTTTAGAGAAAAAAAATACATCATAGGGAAACAAATTTACATCTAAAAAAAAATTGACCGTTCGGAAACACTTGTACAAGTGCAAAGACAAAACTGCAAGTGGCAAAACACAGTTACATAGCCAAAAACAAATTAACAAAAGACGGCTACACGGAAAGGGAATGTCCCAGTGGCCGGATGTGACGTCACGATTACCCTGACTTGTAGTACAAACAGCTCAATCTGTAGTCCTCCTGCTTCATGTGAAAAGTCAGCGGCGATTTTAGATGGAAAGAATTGCACTGAAGCTGTTTTTCTTAAGTTTACGCTAACCGAACAATGTTTTCAGCCAATTTACACCATTTTGTTCTTCGTGCGGACGGTCTCTGGAACTTTTACGGGACACGGTACAAGGTGGCAGGACCAAGCAGCAGGGCCGGGCGTATTACTGGCCGGAGCCACTATTATTTTGTCATGTAGTTTTTTAATTACTTTTCTTTGGTATTTAATTATTTTTTGGGTATTTTTCCTGCCGTTTTTCGGCAAATGCCTTATTTATAGTACTTCTAACTAGATTGTTTTATATAGATATATATATATATATATAGGCTATATATTGTGATGTTATCGCTTAATAACCTGTATTAAATTGTATTCTTTATGGGTTTCTTTTTATTGTGATGTTATTGCTTAATAAACTGCATTAAAACTTATAATGTCACATTTACTTGATGGAACGGAGTACTTTATCTGCGAATAAGTGGCCTCGGCCGGCAGCAGCCACCATCGGCCTCTCCGATGGCAAGCTCTGCCGGCAGCGGCCACCATCGGCCTCTCCGATGGCAGGCTCTGCCGGCAGCGGCCACCATCGGCCTCTCCGATGGCAGGCTCTGCCGGCAGCGGCCACCATCGGCCTCTCCGATGGCAGGCTCTGCCGGCAGCGGCCACCATCGGCCTCTCCGATGGCAGGCTCTGCCGGCAGCGGGCAACAACGGCCACTCCGATGGCAGGCTCTGCCGGCAGCGGGCAACAACGGCCACTCCGATGGCAGGCTCTGCCGCAGCCACTGCCACGAATTGAGCTCGGCCCTCCTGCTTGGTCCTGCCACCTTGTACCGTGTCCCGTAAAAGTTCCAGAGACCGTCCGCACAAAGAACAAAATGGTGTAAATTGGCTGAAAACATTGTTCGGTTAGCGTAAACTTAAGAAAAACAGCTTCAGTGCAATTCTTTCCATCTAAAATCGCCGCTGATTTTTCACGTGAAGCAGGAGGACTACAGATTGAGCTGTTTGTACTACAAGTCAGGGTAATCGTGACGTCACATCCGGCCACTGGGACATTCCCTTTCCGTGTAGCCGTCTTTTGTTAATTTGTTTTTGGCTATGTAACTGTGTTTTGCCACTTGCAGTTTTGTCTTTGCACTTGTACAAGTGTTTCCGAACGGTCGATTTTTTTTTAGATGTAAATTTGTTTCCCTATAATGTTTTTTTTTTCTCTAAAATGAAACTTTCTCTCACCTAAAATCTAACTTATTTAAAATGTGAATTTTTCCTTAAATGTAAATGTGTTTTTAAAAATTTAAACTTTTTTTTCCAAAAATAAATTGTTTCATAAAATATAATTTTGTTTCTTCAAATGTTATTTTGTTTTTTATTTGTTAATGTGTTTTTGAATTGCAAATGTGTTTTTAAAAATTTAAACTTTTTTTTTCAAAAATACATTTGTTTCATAAAATATAATTTTGTTTCTTCAAATGTTATTTTGTTTATTTGTTAATGTAAATTTGTTTGCTAAAATGTAAATGTGTTTTTAAAAATTGTAACTTTTTTTCAAAAATAAATTGTTTCATAAAATATAATTTTGTTTCTTCAAATGCTATTTTGTTTTTAATTTGTTAATGTGTTTTTGAATTGTAAATGTGTTTTGCACTTCTCAGCCACCGTAAATAAAAGTGGAAAAAAAGCTAAATTAATGTTAGCCTGTGAAAGAGAGACAGAAAAATTAGTGGCAGCTGTCTGAGACTGAAACTACCAGACGAAGTGCGACAGAGAGGCAGGGAACTGAAGTCTGGTTGGAGGAAATAGGGTCATTAAAAAGGAGGAAGTTTTTTACAGCACACATAAATCTGAAGTGACGTTTCATCTTGAATCTGCACATGCTTCCCTGTCCTCCTTGATTTACCTTTCCTTTAGCACCGCTATGCCTCTTCCCTGGGAGGCTAGTGTTATTTTAGGCCTGCTAACTCCCAGAGCATGGTGGCTTGTTAGTGCGTCTTGCTAATCTGCTCAGCCCTCGCCATCACTGCGATCATTCATGCATCCGGACCACGAAGGGACCAAAACACAATAAATGAGCTGTGTCCTCCTGGCTGGCCATAAAGCTCTCCCAGCAGGGTGCAGCGGAGCACAAGCCCACGCGTTACTTTGGACCCGAGCTTGAATCTATATTAGATGTTATAAGAATTCCAGGGTAATAAAGAAAGTTGTTTTTTAATGTGATAATTGGCTGTGGAGGTTTGCCCTTTCCATTAATATGGAATTTCCACTGGATGAAGGAAAAGTTGGTAATGTTTCTCTCCAAAGTAGCTACCTGAGTACTTTATTGCTATAATGGAAATACTTGCACTACAATTGTGCTTTTCTGACCACTGTTTATATAATCAATGTCCAATGATAATATTAACTCGTTAAAGTTTTTAAAAAAGTAACTAAAATTGCTAAATACGTCACAGGGTGTTTTTGATGTCACAGTTGTTGCCTTTTGCTCTCAATTTTTTTTTTTTTATTACCTGCAAAGACGTCAATGGCAGAAAATCATGGTGTTTCATAAGAGAATAGATATTTAAAAAAAAGAAACAGGCGGAATCTGTTGGTTTGCTGACAGAAATTCAGTTTTAAATCATAGTTTCAACATTTGTCAAAGTTGAGGCCAGGGCTTTGCAAAGGCTATCCAGAAAACTAACAACACTGCAATTGCAAAAAAGAGGTGTCTAATAAGAAGCTCAAAACACTCAATATGAGGGTAAAGGTACTCAAACCATGTTATTATATATATATACATACATATATATATATATATATACCATTATATTTCCATGCAGGGAGATTAGAGTTAAAAATTAAAGCCTTAAAGTATGAATAAAGTCTTATAAAATTAAATATTCTAAAATGTTTAAATGTAGTTATTTTTATCTCGGTAACAATTTTCTTACTTTCTTTTTTTCTTTTACACTGAAAACATAACATCTGACCATGTAAATGATGCATATAAAACAACATGTAATCAAGTGTGGGTCTGCATGGTTGCAGTTTGAAGCACTGTTGTCTGACAGCAAGAAGGTCACGTATTTGTGAATTTGTGTTAACTCAAAAAAAGCAAACTGGTTTAAGAAGATTTTTTTAAAGAAAAATGTTTTCTAGGACTACAGGCCGGTTGACCAGGGAGGGGACCACTGGGTCAGATGTCCCAGGCCCATGGTAGAGTTTCTTATTTTTTATAAAGCATGCTTGTGAAAAAAACACATGGACTTATGATTTAAATTAAATAAGATGAGTTTTCATTGAATTTGCTCTTACGGTATTAGGGATTTATTCCCCTTATCCCTCATTCCAATAAAATGGTTTGGCCATTTATGCAGCTTCTTTGAGTTTGTTAAGCTGCTGCAGATAGCTACCAAATACTCACTGTGCTACAGCAGAAATAAAACCAGGCCTCACAAGGTAATACAGAGCCTAAATCCTACTTCCCACTCTAGGACAGGATATGGCCCCATCACTTTGATGTGAAACCGCAACCCTCACCTGAGGAGCACACCTCAAGCCTCAGGTACACCCCACTTTAGATCGCATTCACCCATAGAGAGAACACTGTCTTTTGTCAGGGTCTGTTGTTTATATTTGCTAAATGAAGTATTACTTCATCAAGCAAACTATTGGGATGAATTAAGTAGCTGTGATCTGATTTGGTCAGGACTGACATGAGGCACGTCCACCACAGCACCTGCAGGTTCAGGCTGCAGCTAAATGGCTGTGAATAAAAGATGATGCTCCTGTAGAACCTGAACCACAGCTTTGAACTTAACATTTTCAGCTCAAATCTGAAGATGTTACGCAAGCAGACATCAGTTAATTGGGTTAACTGTGTCTGTAGCAGGTATAGTATGGAAAGACAAAAGTGCCAATAATTCATTATAATAGAAGGGGCAATATTTATATTTGTAAATGTGAAAATCTGTATGTTACTTAAAACACATGCATAATTTTAAGGAAAAAAATTATTAGATATTGAATAAATATATTTCTACTTAATGGCCATAAGTGAAAGTATTGTAAGCACGTAACAGGAAGGCTGAAAGTGTAACTTCCCAACCCTCTGCTATGGAAGCTTATGGATCTGCAAATGATTGATCTTTTTAGAAATCCAATAAAAAGTTCAACCAAAATACAGTCTCTGCAATATAAACAAATAGACGGCTGTTTAAGTAATGCTAGTTGAGTTAATTGTGGGGCTCGCTGATATAAAATGCTAATGATAGATAAAAAACATCAACACCAGAAAGTTTTGTCTTTGCTTCAAAGTTGTGAAATAAGCACAGCTAATAATTTCACAAACAAAATATTGTTGCCTCTGCTCTTAGTTCCAACAGATTAACTGAAATCGGCAGATCAAATCTTTTCAACAACCTCAGCAGCTCTAAAGAGGAAGGAGCGGATAAAAAGAAAAGGTCCGCATTGAATCGACACAGAACTGAATCATATTAAAATCAACACTTAGAGCCACATATCGACTGTAACTTTGATTGATAGAAACTGAAAATAAATTATGAAGTATTAAATTGAGAATGACTTCAAGGTAATTTTTTCTAAGTGAGGCTGAAGTAGGGTGATCAGTCTAAATTCTCAAAGGGGCGAAGTTCCATCAGAACAAACAAATCCCAGAAGCTCTGCAGAGATCCAATCCAAAGCCGCACGTGAAGATAAATTCATTTTTCCTTCCTTCTCTCCACGGACAAATAGCTTACTTTCTGTTATCTTTTCATCTGTTGCTTTCCTGCAATAAAACGAAGATGCCAGTTCATAAATCAAATGGTCCATTGTTTGAAAAATGAAAAAAGATGTCTCAAATATCTGTGCCTAATAACGCAGACCAGATGAAGGAGGCTGCTTTCATGTCAGGAGGGTCTGTTGGTTTAACATCCCTCTCATTCCCTTCCTCCTTCATCACAGGGATATCTATCCGTATTCAAAGACTGAGGGAAAACATGGCGAACCAAAAGAAGAGTGACCAAAAGCAGGGAAGGCGTGGAAGGAAATATGCTCTGTAATATAATCTATTCTTCTCTCCTCCTTGCTGCTTTGTAGTGCTGATGTCACATAGTAAAAAAAAAAAAAGAGCAAAGATCAAGGCGTTTGATGCAGGTAGATTAAGGACACCCTAAGACACATAATGTGCTCTACAGTAAGCACAGACTGCCATATTCAGTGTACGGTACTGTGTCTGAGAAGTCCAGACAGTGTTTATAACCTTACTGATGTGGTTTAAAGGGTAAAAAAAAAGTCTAGACGTGAAGGTGGTGGTGGGGGAGGGGGTTACATTTTGTTACACAAAGCCGTTATTCCAAAAACATCTTATAACCAAACGCAGGTCTGAAACCGTTATGATATTTTTAATGTTTTTTAAGAATAAAGATTTTATAACTGGGGGGAAACTTACAGTGAACTCCAGGTGGTCATAAGGCATGGAAATGGTGGATCGAGTGCAGAAACAGAACCAGAATGTATAATTACACCTGCATAGCCTTCAGCTAACTGACTCCTTTTTATAACACCTTTTTGCTTTTATAGACAAAAGGACTAAAACTTCCCTTATTGAGTATTTCTATTCTATGGTTTAAAATACAAAAATTGATCAAAGGAAAAATAACAAAAAAAGTCAATCTGTTTAAATATTTGTCAGCAAAGAAAAGGAGAGGGAAGAAACAGAAAACTAAAATATCAACGTGAGCATGATTAATAAAAGCATTGCATTGGAGGCAGCTGGACCAAAAACAGAGGTGGCATTAAAGCAAATGCTGATGGGATAATAGGAGACGTGACACTGAGATATTTGGTCTGATGCCTTCATTGTGAATTTCCTGCAACACCTGCCTTCCTTCAGTGTGTGCTCTGTGTGCGTCCTTACGCTGGTTTTTAGAAGGAAAGCTTGCTGACTTTCCTTTAACATAGAGAAACCTGCATGAGCAACAGTTCAGCAGGAACAGGGGTTACGGTGGCAGTGAAGGTGCATAAAATCTTAGATTAAAGGAGAAGCTTTATGAAGAATGTTGTAATTTGCAGTCATGAAGTAAATATAACTTCCACCATCTCTGAGCTACAACAACATTCAATTTTCAGCTGTAAAGTTTGCAGCCTGCTCCTCCCCCTATTTAAATTAATTTGCACATTTCAGTATTAAGACAATTCAACATGCCAGACATGAAACAGAAAAAAAGGGAAAGGGAAAAGTACTTTGCAGTGGCATAAAGGTAAAAAAAAATAAGGAATGGACATGAATAATTAAAGACTATACAAATTAATCATTTATAAGACAGGTGATTATTAAAATAAGTCATGATAAAATGACTGCAAAGAAAAAAAAACAAAAGTTGGACTGCAAACTTATGTTTAGATAGTACATTTAAACAAATATGTTTTAAATGTAATTTTATCCACTTTTTAGGCAGATATGTGATCCACATGCAGTGAACAACTCTACTAAAGATGAATGCATGAATTAGTTTTTCAAGGTCCTGCTGAGACACTGTTCTTCTAATTCAAGATCTTAAACTGGTAGAAGGTCGATGTTGTTACAGGGACATATTTGTCCTATAACCTTCACATCTTTTTTTACCTTTGATACAAGCAAATATTTGAGTTCTGTTCAAAATCACAAGCCTATATAAGGAAATGTTAATGTTGCATTTCTTTTTTAAATTACGAATTATTGCTTAAAATGGAGGCGACGCAAGCTTACGACAGACCAAGTTTATGAACCTTTAAACTGTTTTCATATTTGTATTGGCTTATTACATATATAATATTATTTATATACATAAAACCCAACAGTAATTCATATCAGATTTGATGAAAGTTCATTCTAATATAAAAATTAAGGCAGTCTTATAATGAAAGTATTATTAATTTAGGCTAAATAACATTTCTGCTTTTCATGAAGTCTTAGTTTAGGTTTAGTAACAAATGCAATTGGAACCCTTTTATGTTCAGCTATTTGTTTCTGTGTTATCCAGGAAGATTAATGTTGATGCACCGCCTCCAACCTATGCGGCTTCCCAGTAGTGCAAATCAGTGAGGACGGCGGTCCCTCATACAAGTGCTATCTAAATAGTGCTGACAGTAAGGAAGGAGGTAGGAAAAGGAAGCAGGAGGCTTCTTATCTATAGCTCATTTAGCATGGGGACCTCTTGATAATCCTATCCTCTTCTAAGAGGTATACTTTTATATTTTTATAAATCTCCGTGGCTCTTTTCTTTAAGGCCAATTTGAAAAGCATCATATGTGGTGTCCATCACATGATGAGCTGTCTGGATTCAGCACAGTAGTCTGGAGCTCCTTTCCTACCCTGGATAGTCTTCTTTTTGTTGACCTCACAAAAGGTGAAGGGGTTAAAGCAGCAGCTACCATTTCAGGTATTTGGAAGAAGCCAAATTGTTTCATGTAAATCAGCAAAATTGACAAAGTTCTGCAATGTCAATCTGACAAGCAGATATGATGCTTTTGATACTTAAGTATTTAAAACAACTGAATTTTAATTTGGCTTCTCCCCTCTTAGACTGGCTGTGAACTTTAGCCATTTTGGTCACATGCTAAATAAAAATGCTTAAGTAATTATTGAGCAGAGTTAAGGCATTATAACTGAGAGCTGAACCTGATCTTTGGCAAATAAATCATTTTTGGTGCTTGTCTATATTTAAAAGCAAATTCTGACCAGCTTTAGAATAACAGTACTTTTTTGTTGCCTTTCAATATGTAGTGAAAATTCTTGCCATCAAAAGAAATAAATTTGTTGAAAATTTATTTTCCAGTAAGCAGGACTGCATCGGTCAAAACCAAGTTAGAAGATTTGGTAGATGTCGCAAGAGTTCTTCTCAGGAAGCCAATTATTACAGTTCTAACTATTAGTTATGGATCTAGGCTTTTCTGAGATTAGTGCAAAAAATATAAGATAGGGTTTAGGTTCATTCTGCAAAAATTAGTGGACGGATATAAGAGAAAACGTTTTAGGGAACAAATGGAAATTTTTTCCATTTTTCACAAGAACACTTTTCTGGCTGATAACCTAAGTTTATGCATATTTTTTCGGAACATAATGTTAAACCTTAGGAATAATAAATAGGTTAGGTTGATGGATGGAAACAGATTCAGAGAGCTTGAAAAAATAAAAACAACAGGATTTATTTCTTACCTGTTTCGGCCCGAGTCCCGGAATCCTTTGGCAAAGGGGTTGCGATCAATCTTTAGTCTGGTGATCTGCACAGACAACAGACAGAACAATGTAAAATGAACTTCAGCAAGGTTCTTCTATTATAAGGTATTTCTGTTGATGCACTGAAAGAATCACTATGAGAGTTGATTCCCTTTGTTTATCAAATTGTCTCTTAAAAACCTTTTAATTTGCAAACTTAATGATTAAAAAAAGGATGTGCTTACCTGCTGATTTTGGTAGGCAGTGACGGTTGTAAAGACGGTCTCAGAGAAGCTAAAGGTCTTAACTCCCTCCCCGCTTGGCACCGGTTTGTTAGCAGACAGTTCACTGCTGAAGTCCTTCCTGATGATGTGAACACGAGGTTGATACTTGTGCATGGAGTGGAGGATGATCTGTGTGTGTAAATAAAAGATATAAGTGTGATGTACTGCAGCACGATTAAAATTCAGAGAGAATGATTTAGTCACGTTGAAACATGGTGACTGAGAGCACAAGGGCAGCTCTTGTCTAATGTGCTCAGAAATAGTATTTGCTCCCTACAAATTTGGTAATTTTTGTCCTACTTAAAATCTTAAAAAACTCTCAATATATATTCAAATCAAGAGTTGATTAAATCACTTTTCTTCAAACTGAGTTCAACTCTAGTAGCCTGTTTTATGCCAGACCTGTTCAATCAAGGAATCATTGAACAGAACCTTTCCAACAACATGAAGCAGGCTAAATATCTCCAAGAAGAAGAAAAAAAAACACAATCATGCCATGATCTAAAGCACATCTAATATTATTGGGAGGATTACAAGTCAATTTTAAGGCATTATGGTTTCAGCATTAACAACTAGCTAACATTATTCCAGGAGGCCATGGAAAATTCCTACAAGAGATGGAGTTAAAACCCCGAACAAAACCTGAAGCATTACAGGCATAACTAGGCTTAGTTAGGATAAGAGTTGATTATTCAACATTAAGAAATAGATGTAAAAAAATGGCATTGATGGAAAATGCAATGACCAAAACCACAGCTAATAGAAAACAAAAACATTTTAATCATCCCCAGGACATTTAGAAAAATATTCTGTGGACTGAGGAGATGTCTTATTACAAAAAAAAGAAAAAACAGCATCTTAGGAAATAGAAATTTTAGTCCAACAAGGTGATTGTAGTGTGAAAACCATAAATGCTGTGTTTCTGCTTCCAAATAACCTGAAAAAGACAAACTAAATTAAGCTCTTAGCATGATGTTATTATCTCTTTGATGATGTAGCATGACCATAAACAGAGTGCTAACACTCAAAAACCCTTTATTGTGGCTATTTTGGAGTAAATATATGAAGAATACTGGACCAATATTCCCTCTTGTTTTTTTCCCGAAAGGGAATATATTTGTTTAATTTACTGAAACCTAAAAAAAAATTAAGTCTGAAATGGGGCAAATACCTTTTTTACAACATTCGGAATCACAACAACATTTGCCTCCATTTTACATGAAGTCTTAAGGCTTTCTAACTCATTCTTTATGATGTCAACTAGTCATTTGTGACTAAACCTTATGCTGTCACGAAGCTCACTGCAGGATTATTTCACAGCAGAGCCGAGGCGTCAGACGATGTTTGCCCCAGTCTCGCCTCAGGGCCTCAGTCTGCTCTTGATTAATCTGAGGGTGAGAAAACCTCCCCAGAGCAAAACACCCCCAGTTCTTCCCTCATCCTGCTACAAGGGGGTTGGTGGGGGGGGGGGGGTCATTTCAAAGCACGGCCACAGGCGGAAGGAAACACCTCTGAATATCAAAAACACTACACCTCCAGACCTCAAATCACAGCTGCACACAAGAGTAGAAAATAAGGCTGGGCAGCTGCATGGAGGCAAACTGATGCACGCTTTAATCTGCAATCCTCATTTTGGAGAGCTTGTCCCCCTCCAGGCTGTTCCAGCTCGGATTTTGCTGTCTTTCACTATACCCTGTTCTTGGATCACCTGTCAATCAGAACACTATGGGAGGAGCTGCGGTGTCTTTTTACCCAGCACAGTCCACATCGCACAAATTGCTTCCCCACAGAAAGAAATGTCCCCTGACTCCATGCCATTACTCTGGTTTCACACCATGCTACACTTTCACTCTATATGTGCTGCTTCACCTCAACTTGGTAAAATGGAACCTAGAGTTAAAGCAGTCCTTCAGTAGAAAAACAGACATAGATCTGATTCCGATTTCTATGATGTTTCTTTAACCTTTCGTATCTTTTTTCTTTAATCCAAGGTAACCAGAAAGCTACTGAAAAAGATGTTCCATCTCTGTTGTTTTTAAGACTTGTTTTTGTTTTTAAGCCAAAACACTTTGATGTGCTTTATTTTGATTTTATCAAATGGAGAAACGTATAGGTTTTAGCAGTACACACAGATAAAGACCTTTTCACTGTAATCACAGCTGCAAGTCTTTTGTTGTATCTCTCTGTCAGCTTTCTAATTGGGTTTAGGCTTGAATTTGAATGGTTCATTCTGAAAACATGTTTTGATCAAAAGTCATGCCTATGTTGTGGGTTTAGGGTTGTTGTCCTGATGTTGAGTGAAACTTTGCCCCAGTTCATTTTCCTGTGCAGCTTCTTACAGCTTTTCTCCCAGTATTTTTATCTCTAACCAGGTTCCCTATATCTGGTGAGGAAAGAGATTGTCAAAGCATGATGCTGCCACCGCCGTGTTTGACAGAAACTATAGTAGTTGCAGTTGCTGGTGAAGGTTCCCCGTCATCCAGGTCATAGTCATTCCAAAAAGAAAAAAATAATCCACTGGATTTTGTTTCCCCATTTTGCTTCCCATCCAGGAAGCTTTTTCAATTCAAATAGTCAGGAATAGCGTTGAGTTCGAGGTTTTATACTGTAGCCATACAAAGCTTTGCTTTTTGTTTTAAAAACATGCAAATTGGAACAGAGGAAGGGGTCCACCAATTTGCAATAGGGGTCGTTTGGCTTCTTCTGTCAGACTGCAATGCCCCATACCCATCTAAGTATCTGAAAGGTCGGTGTTAAACGGGATTGTTGGCCTGGCTGAATAGGCGAGGTCCTCTGCTCTCCTGTACAGGGCTGGGGCTGCAATGATAACAGGAAGGGAATAACTCAATTGCTGTATTGTAGGTTTTTGAAAGCTGGAACCTGAGTCCACCCCCTCTGTTTAAGGTTGTTTTTTCTTTCGTAACATAGATGGCTTCCTTCATGCCCCTCTCAAACCACCTATTTTCTTTTCCAAAATGTGAACATTCTGGTCCCCAAGAGAAAGTCCTTTGTCTATAAGGATGATGTACTGCAGAGTCTTGTCCTTAGGAGGTAGATCTTCTGTGTTGGGTCATGCATCTGTGGAGCGGTTGTTTGGTTTCTGCAATATAAAGATCAGAGCATTCTTCACTGCACTGAACTGCATACACTACTCCGCTCTGGTTTGGGGGTTTTGTCCTTAGTACATCCTAAGGAAAAAAGGATGTAGTGCATCCTAAGGGTGGAAGCAATTTGTTCGATGCTATACATCAATGTCGATGTACGTATAGTAGTTGCAGTTGTAAACAAAGCATACTGCTCTGTATCTTGGCCCACATTTTTTTTTGTCTGATCAGAACAGAGGACTTTCTTCCACTTTCTGTTTTTACTTCATTGCTTTCGACAAACCGACTGACAGGTTTTCACATTGCATCTCGTCGTTTCTTTAGCTTACTGGAGGTGGGTTTGAGCTACAACAGCCAGCTTTGCATGTTGTTTAACGATTTTTGGAGCAGCTGGATTGTCGTATGTTTTTGCTTCATTAGTACCCTATCAACCAAGAACTGGGCTGACAACTTTGAGGTAATCCTTCCTTCCAAGCCCTGCAGCATCGTCTCTATGTATGTCCTCTTTAGTGGATTTCCTGGGTTGCTACCTGAGTTCGAAGGCTGACTTGTCTTGATTCTTTTGTAGTTTTGTGTTTCACCAGGTTCCCCGCGCACATTTGTGTTTCATTAGTTGCCTTGCCCATCTCATCACTTACAGGATGTAGAGATGTTGGTGAATTTTCTGCTGTTTTGCAAGGATTTCAGCAGAGCTCCTCCAGCATGCTGCCTACTCCATTAACCTAACTGGAACTTTTCAAATTGTATTCCCTTCAACAAAATGCAACCTTCTCAACAAGAACACTTTTTAATTGCATTGATAGTTGTCCTGTAAATAGATAATCCCACCCCTGTCACTCCTCCACAATTATCATGTGGAGTATTCAAAGCTCGGGATAATGTTTTTAAATTTAACCCTTTTATAAACCTCTCCACCCCTGTCTTCCTACTCTTCACAATGCTTATTATTTGCTAACCTTATTTAGCAAATCTTTTTACGCCTTCACAGAAAAGATTTATTCTCATATTAAATTGCACATATGTACTAAATAGGTGACATATTAATGCAACTGATTCAGGATTTTCTACTGCGTAAATACAAACCTCATATTTCACATTTAAATTATTTTTATCCTATAATCCACATTTTTGCAAAGAAATATTATGATTTCTTTTCCTTACGAAATTCAGCATGAAAGATATTAAGTATAAAGCCAATAGAAAAACTAAAACAAAACAGAAAATGGCTGAATAAATGAGGTGATACGAAGTAAAAGCAGATGCTACAGTCTCTGAACTCTAAACAAATGACTCAGGGTGCAGCCAGGGGACAAAAGGCTGTCAGTCATTCCAATTAGATTAAATTAAAAAGAGATGTTTTCATTTTTAGGGGAGATAATCATGTCCCTTCCGTCCCCTTTGAAAGGCGTCAGGGACTTGGGATCATGCATGTTCTTATAACATGTTGTAGTTAAAGCAGCTTAATGACCTTAAGAGATCAGTAATTGAATGAATTTCAGAGTGTAGATGGACTGATTAAAGTTCAGCAGAAAAGAGAAGAAACTTAGACTGATGGCTCATAACTATGAGGGCTAGAATACATCATATTGAGAAAAAAAACAGGATAAAAAGAGATTTCTTACAGGCCAATTACATGATTTTGATGGAGTATGGGCAGATGATCAAAGCTATATTTACTGGGCAATTTTAAATGATCTCACACAACAGTGCAGATATGTTACAATGCAAAGGATCATTAACTGTAAAGAACAAAAGAAAGAAAGAAAAAAAACTTGGTTCTAGTCTGGCTTGCTTTGGAGTTTTATTAGATTTTCCCATACAGCAGAGAAGAAGAAAATATGTGACAGAAGACAGAAATAGCCATGAGGGTGACCAGTGCATACAGGAACACAATTAACTTTAAGAAATAAACGAGACAACAATAAAACAAATGGTGAACCTCAGTAACTGTTGGAACTTTACAAATACATATATATTTTTACATTAATCCTGATTATTTTAGTCTATGGCTAAATTATAACAGGA